GTATTCCATTTGGTCCATATCTAGTTCACTGGTACAACACAGCACCATGACAAAGCTGGTACAAATGTGTTTTTATCAACGGAGAAATGTTTCTAGAATTCAACCTATATGTTAAGTTTTAAAGACAGTGAAATCATTTTACATTCTTTTATCTCTTCACGCCTGGATTAGTGCAACAGCCTTTTTACATGCTCAAATAGCAGCAAAAAGGCTTTTGATCAGAGCTGACAGGTTTGAACATATCACCCCGGTTGTAAATAATCAAGATTAATACTTGAGTATTGGCCAATTCTTTAAAGTCTTCATTAACCCAGCGTGGGTCCGGCAATGCTACAGGTGTTAAGTGTGTGTGCACTCATGCTATGTTACGTCTTTGACCTTACCCTGAGCACCTCTCTGCAGATGTAAGCTATCCAGTCCTCCTTCAGACAGTTTCCTTTAGTCTTCTTCACCAAGTCAGTTACTGAGCCGGCTCCACAGTACTCCATCACCAACTAGATGGACAGATGGAGAGGACTCTATCACACACACACAGATGCGTTGTACCAATCAAAAATAACTACAAATATCACTGTCTTCTGATCTGACAGTCAAATTCATAATATGATGGTGATATATGATGATTCCTGACAGGACAAACCCAGAGGGGTAGCAAAAAAAACACAGATGAAGCAATTAACAAACCCAGAGTTGGTGGTCCTGTCCAGCAGGCTCTTTCTTAATAAAAGCTCCATAATAGGTAGCGATGTTTCTGTGGTGGGAGTAACTCTTCAACATGTTGATCTCCAGCTTTATCTCCTCTTCTTCCTCCTAAACACAACAACAGATAGACATTCAAGGCTTATTCAAAAGATTGATTAGAATTGCCGGTTTGTAGTTGTATCCCTCTGTCAACCAGAGCAGTAACAGTGACATTTGACAACTGAAATCTAATCAGTTCATCCTTGAGTCCAAGTAACAACTGGGCAAAATGTGGCAGATTTGAGAAATCATGATCAAAAGGCCAAAATCTTTTCTACCAAAGTTGAAAGGTGTTTGTGAGTTCATCCTTGAGTCAAACTGAACATTGTACCAAAGAACTTCCCCCAAGGCATTCATGAGATATTGTGCTCACAAGAATGGGTGGGACTCCAGCCACTGACTGTCGAATGTGCAGAGGCATAAAAACAAGCTCTTTTCAGTATGACTGATCTGCTTTTAGGCAAGCTATTAAATGGCAGACAGGAGGCAGCTTTAATAAAAGAGTGCTTTATACACTTTCAGCACATTGAAGATGTTAATAGTTGCAATTGCTTTAAACACATTTAACTCAGAAATCAGAAATTGGTGCATAATCCTGCCTCTATAAAAAAGGCTTGAATGTTGAAGTAGGGCACTTTAAAGAAAAGCTGAAGTTTTAAAGTCCATACAACATGAACACGTACACATCCAGACACACAGCATCTCCAATCAGACTGTCGTGTAACCTCTTCATGACCCTTCACCCAGCTACTGGACCTTAATACAACTACTCCCACTTCTCAAAGGAGGTTGATCAGTCAGTCAGAGGCAAGGACAGATAGAGCGGCCAGAGGAAACAGAGTGCGGCACTTTTTGTTTTCTCGCTATAAATCCCGGAAATGACTTGTCTCTCCTCCGATTCACTGAACCTCTAAATCTACACTGGACTGGAGGAGAAAGAGGAGATGAGGAGGAGAGAAGGAGGAAGGAGGAGTAGAGCAGAGCTGGGGGAGCTGGATGTGGCTGTTAATCAGAAAAGAGGAAACAACAGAGAGCTTCTCTCAGTCTTTGACGACCTTTAAATCTCCACAGGACAGGAGGGGAGAAAATGACATGGCAGAGTTTGAACTTTCACCCCCATCCGAAAGACAAAGACTCCTAGATATAGCGTGTCTGTGTGTGTGTGTGTGTGTGTGTGTGT